GAATGCAGCTTTAACACATGAAGCTTTGACTTCACTCTTCAGAACCGCAGGTTGCCGCCTGGTGGGGATGGAACAAGCTGTACAGTTGACTGTGTCCTAGGGAGGTAATGAGTTGGTGTACTTGTTCTTCGTTCCCGACAGGAGAACCACTGTCTGCGGATCAAGATCCTGGGAGACTGCTACTACTGTGTGTCAGGGCTGCCAGAGGCCAGAGCCGACCACGCCCACTGCTGCGTGGAGATGGGGATGGACATGATCGAGGCCATCTCGTAAGTACGACTATCAACCGTGACAAAGGAAGAACAGACCAGAGCCACTCTTTCCCTTCTTACCTTTCACAATAAAAGCCCTAAACATATACACTGTAACTGTTTACCAGAAGGAACTCAAACTCACTCGGAGCTTTTCACTGAAAGGAAACTCAATAAAATATCTAATAGTAGCTTTAGTTTTAATAAAGAATATTTGCAGGCCAGTATTTTGTATTTTTGTGTTATTGCCCCCCCCCCCTAGCTCATGCTCACAAACACTGAGAGGACTTTCCCAGACCATGGAACACCACACTGGAGCTCTTGATTTAGTTGGTGTTCCCCTTTAACGTGAGACTGCAGTAAAATAAAGGCTAAATATGTTAAATGGTGATGTAGCAGGTCGGTCAGTGGGAAAACCGCAGGATGGATGATTTCCAGATGCAGTTTTATGTTTCATGGGGATTATTTATAAACTGTGGGAATTGTAATAAATAACATCAGATGTTAAAGGGTCCAAATACTCACTAATATTAGCTGCTGTGAATGAACACAAAGAAAGCTGCCACCTGATGTCACTGTTCCTCTCTAGGTTAGAGTTTCAGGCTGGAGGCTGATTGATTGATTGGTTGTGAACGATGTGACATGCAGACGGGGCTCTCTGCTGCTCAGTGCTTTTTAATTTCATTTCAAGCTTCTGAGCCGTTGCAGCTGCTCTGCTTCTGTTAGTTCATCCATCAGTCTGTAGAAATAATACACATATTTCCTTTTCTTGCAAAGAGTTAGATGACAGACTGAATATAAGAAGTGGAAGTGACCATATCTGGACTGAGGAGGAGTGACGTAGAGACGGCGTATACATCTCTGGTAGAGACCTGTCAATCAGCGTGTAACCCCGCCCTAAAACATCCCCTGCTTTATGGTCTGTGTGACTCTAAATGGACCATAATGTACTAAATGAACATCATGCTGTATTGAAGAAGACTTGAAACTAGAGATTGAGACCATAAACTCATGTTTACAATGTTTACTGAGGTAATAAATCAAGAGAGAAGTAGAGTCATTTTCTCATAGACTTCTATACAACCAGAGGACACTAGAGAGAATGCAGCTTTAACACATGAAGCTTTGGCTTCAGGGAGGTTAACGTCTTAGTTAAACCAGAAGACTGATACCGCTCTCATGTCTGTACAGTAAATATAAAGCCACAGCTAGCCGCCTGCTAGCTTAGCTTAGCACAAAGACTGTAAACAGGGGGAAACAGCTAGCCTGGCCCTGTCCAAAACATTTTCAAACTAAAAAGTTTAACTTTTCCCTTAAAGTGACTTTTCTAACTAACTAACTAACTAAAAGTCTGTACGACTGTCCTTTGATTTTTTCAACAACCATTCAGCCGATCGACTTGAAACTTGGTGGGTGAGTTAATCAGAACCCGAGGACGGGGGAAGTCCAGTGTGAAGTTGTTTGGATGAACGGTTCTCGAGAAAGCTGCAAGCAGTAACACCCGAGGTCAAGCAGGGCGCTGCGATAGTGTCGCTGGAATTAAATATATTTCAGTTTTAAGAGTTTTGATGGAATCTGAATGTATTAATCCACATTTTGTTTTATTGGTTTACATTTTGCCAAAGCAGAGAGATGAACTCAGCGGTGGTCTTCAGTCACAGCAGTTATTCTCAGCGTTATCTGCATATTTAGCCGTAATCTAATCATAAGGACTGCACGGCTGCAGCAATGAGGAATGTTCTCGTCCACTCAGGTCATTGGTCCGATCATTAGGAGCTGCTATCAGCCTTGTTGCAGTAAAGCCAGACACCACGGCTGCCTCTGTCTTCATCTGAGTCTACAGCAGAGCTGCACAATATATCTGCTTTTACCGCCATCGCCGTGTCAGATGGTGCAGTAAATACGCCACAGAAGACCGCAATGCTGCACTAAAGGAAAGCTCTGTTTTGAATATTCAGAACTAAATAACAACCATGTTAACATAGTTAACTAGCATTCTTTAAATACCTGTTGCAGTGCAGCAGTTTATGAGTTTATTAGTGGATTCACAGCTTAAACACAAGCTTTCTAAACTTTCACTTTCACAGTTTTCAGGACGAAGTTTCCTGTAAAATGTGCAGAGAAACGGTTTGATGAGGAGAAACATGTAAAATCGACTATTTTCAAAAGCCAGTATCTATTGGTTAAAATCTTTAATGACTGAAAACAACGAGCCTGAAAGGAATTCTTCACACACATATTTGAACATCAAAGAAACGTGTTTCCTTGACTTCTTGAGGACAATGATTGAACTATTTAAGACACTCTCCAGCTTGCACAGCCGCGCTCTTCGTCTTCATGTCTGGTGTGTTCTTCCTGCAGGCTGGTGCGCGAGGTGACCGGGGTGAACGTGAACATGCGAGTGGGCATCCACAGCGGCCGGGTGCACTGCGGCGTGCTGGGACTCAGGAAGTGGCAGTTCGACGTCTGGTCCAACGACGTCACTCTGGCCAATCAGATGGAGGCCGGGGGCCAGGCCGGGTCCGTGACTCCCAACCTCGTCTGTTGACGGCAGCGCTGCAGATTTTAAACACGTCAGACTAAACATTCATGTGTGTTTGTCATTGCAGGCGTATCCACATCACCAAGGCCACTCTGGACTATCTGAACGGGGACTACGATGTGGAGGACGGAGAGGGGGGGGAGAGGAACGCCTACCTGAAGACGCACAACATAGAAACCTACCTCATTGTGGGCTGCAGTCAGAAAAGGGTACGGTCCTCATCTTTATCTGAAGCTAGGAGCACGCGTAACAAGATGCACCACAGCTAAGGCTCGTTATATTATGTATTTAAAGCTGCATGCATTGATCTTCATCCACTAGGGGGCAGAATAACTCCACATGGCTGCTCTGTGAGCAAACATGACACATTTCATCATATTCACCCCGTTGGTGTCACGTTTCTGTCCACTGAACGATTATAAATCTCTTCTTTTAGATCCATCAACATCGGACTCTTTAGCTGCTAGCACAAGCTCAATTATTTAATTCATAATTTAAGAGAATTAATAAATGCAGCTTTAGGAGAACTCTGAAACGTATTGTTGTCTGTTTTGAATATTAAGAACTGGAGGAAATAACCATGTTAACATAATAAAGTAGAAATATTCTTTAAATCTTTAGATTGATTCACAGTTTATTATTTATTAGTTGATTCATAAACAGAAGCGTTTCACAGTTCTCTTCACTGGAGGACGAGGTTTACTGAGAGAAACTGTTTGATGATGAGAAACATAAAATCTGTAAAATCAACTTTATTTTGGTCAAAATCTTTAAAAACTGAAAACAATGAGCCTTAAATGAATTATTCTCCCACAAAATAATCATTTGCAACATCAAGCGTGCACAGGTGCGCTATTGGTTCATGCAGAAGTGTAAAATATTTAGGTTTTGTGAAGATGCAAGTTCGCTTTAACGAGGAATGAGACCTCGAAGTTTTCCTTCAAGCAAACATGTTGGTCGTCTTTAACTCTGCAGGACATGAAGCTGAACTTACATGTTCATTAAAGCTTGAAACATCACAACATAACAAACCCACGAGGCCTCCTGAGTGTGCTCATTATAAACCTTCTGTCTCTAAACATCCTGCTCATATCGCTGTTTAGCAGCGGAGGTTCTGGTCCCATGTGGACTGGGACTTCATCTCCGCCTCGTCTCTTTGTGACTGGACCGCTTCTATCGGCCGTCTTTGTCCTCCGGCAGCATCACAAGCTGCGGCTAAAGATAGCGCGTCATGTGAAGTGATATCTTCTTCTTCTCTATTTATTCTGCTGCTCGTGCTCAGAGACAGAAGGCAGATTGTGCCGTCTAATGATTTTTTGGTTTCTTATTGTAAACTATTTCTGAGAAAGAGCTCCTGGACCCAGTTTGCGGTTGTGATATCAGATCTGTAAGAAATGAAATAGTAACACCTCTGGAAAAGATCTTTTAATATTACAAGAAGAGCAGAAATGTTCTGAGCATGAAGATACAGCAGCAATACATCTGTAGTGTTGGAGGAGTTTTGTAAGAGTCTGCTTCAGGGAGATGAATCATTATTAATATAATGTGAAGCCAACAAGCAGCACATTGAGAATCCATCTTTGTTTAGTGTGCACGTTTTACATTATGGTGTGCATGTTTTACATTATGGTGTGCACGTTTTACATTGTGATGTGCACGTTTTACATT